TCTTGTTTTATAGCATTATACCTTGTTTATTTTTCAGATTCAAAATATTGTATAATATGTGGCCAAAATGAAACTTTATAATATGACAGCGAAAAATAAAAAATTTTTATTTTAATGTTGTTTTTTAAATATAATTTCAATATATTACCATTATTTTAATGAAATTTATAATCAATGTTACAATGTTTTAAAAAAAATCGTTGAAAATATCTCTGAATTAAAAATTTTCTATAGAAACTGATCTTAAAATCACCAAAATGTTGATAAGTCGCCAAATTTAGAACCATTAAATAAAACAATTCACATTCCCAAAAGCAAAAAATTATTTAAGAGCTCTTTATTAGAAAAAATGAGTTTCAAAATGCTTATGTTTCAGTCGTAAAACAGATAGAAATTTCAGATGATTAAAATTAAGGACCTTCTGCTGATTTTGGCCAAATTTAAGGACTTTTAAGAACCAAAAATCGATTCCAAAAAAATCTAAGGACTCTTAAGGACCGTACAAACCCTGTTCTTGCACACATATAGAAGGTAGAAGGCTGAATTTTTACAATGAAAGCCACAATCCCTTTATACTGCCCAACATAGTGTCTTACAACCAAAGGCTACACAATTTCCCATAGATATATACTTTTGAATAAAATCATTACTAAGGACATTGTAAATTCCTTCCCCTAAATTATTGAAGGATTCTGACAGTAACAATAAGCATTATTTTGCTGTGATTACTATTGTAATGTGAAACAAGAATGGGATACTACTTTATAGAATTCATAACATGAATTACCATTGGTAGCTAATGCAAAAAGCATATTTTATAACACTGGAACAATTTGTTTCTTTGTAGGATCTGCCATGTACTTAACAAGATTAACATGCCCTTCTATGTGCAATATTTTTGGTTATGGCAAAGGTGGGAAATCTTGATCAAAAGAGAGAATTTGCCTGGTTGGAACAAGCAACCGGAATAATCCATTCCACCAGAAATCATGAGGATAAAAGCTCTATTTTTAACAGAATTATCACATTTTTTATGAAAAATGTTGATACTGCTTTCAAAGTATATTTTACTTTCACAAAGTCTATTAGACTGCATGTGCTGCCTGTAATTGTTGCGACTTCCATGACCAACTGAAAAATAACAATTTCATAACACATTTTATAAAATTATTTGAATTGAATAAATATGCCCATTCTTCACTACAATTTTATTTGTATTTCTGAAGAACTTTTAATTTCTTTCAAAGTGACATTGTAAGTATATTTATCATAGCAGTTTTTAATAAAACTATACATGAAAATCATATGAATGTATTTATGGCTTCAATAAGAAATAAAGTAAAGCCTGACATAGCTCACATAAGATGCTCATATTAAGTCAGCACAACCGGTGATTCAATACGATGTATCAACTGTGACACCAGCACAACAATTAGGCTCAATATGACATATTGATCAACACATCAGGACAATTATAAGCTTTAATCTTTTACTTGGAGCAGCCATGAGCATTTTCTGTGGCAATTTTTCACATATATAACTCAATATTAGAGAGCAGAAATAATTTATGGAGTATAAATAAGTAATAATTAAGGATAAGCCAATGATAATCTCTCTATATATTGTACAATTATGCTTTAATATTTGGTACTTGTAATACACAGCTTGAATTTAAAAGGAAAAAAAAAAAAAAAATATGCACTGTAACAGAAGTTTTCGAACTGGTTTTATCCAAAGCACTCCTTTCACCACAGCTAGAAGATCATTTCCCCCTACCTTTCCTAAACCCAAAAAATAAATATACAATTACTTATACTTTTTTTAATGTGCTTTTATAGATTAAACAACAAACAGTATTTAAAATTATAAAATGTTGATAAATACCAAAACTTGAATAAAAGTAGCTATTAATATCGATGAACTAGAATTAAATATACCCCCCCCCAAAAAAAGGGCTAAACACATTTAACCTGAAACCATGAAATTATCTCTCAGGGCGAATTCCCGTGATTGAGAACCACTGCTCTATAAAAAATCTACATAGCTATGTGCAGTAAAATCTCTTAAAAACATGATACAAGTTAATCAGCAATATCAAAATAATGGCATTTTGAAGGTTTAAATTTTAAATGCAAAATTTAGACTTATGAGATAAAAAGATATGTAATGGACTAAAAACCTGAAAATTTAAAAGTGGAAAACATCTGTTTTATGTTTCTGCCATCCAACATAACAAAGCTTACTAAAAAATTGAATTATCCAGAACATAAAAATGGAACTATTAATCTCTTTTTATGTGTCAATGTTTAAATTTTGAATATAGTGTCCATGACTATCAGAAACAGTCCACATAATTTATAATTATTTATTACAATATATGGTAAATTTAAAATATTGTTTTTAATTTTATTTTTATGAAATATAAAATCACTTTTCCATGTTTTAATTTTAAATATAATGCAGGATTTTTTATATTATTTATTTAATAGTGGCCAATGGTCAAAAAACAAAACCAATGGACTTTGCATGCTGCAATGAATATGTACACTGCGGGGGAGGGGAAAAAAAAGAGACAGTTCTATATCTTCCGTTCAACTAAACCGATTGACAATATTCAAATTGCTTTTTTCATGTCTCGAAATCGCGACTTAGGATATGTATTAGACTTATACATAGCATTGTTCCAATATAAGTATTTTAACACAAAATCGGATTTTTTCTGAAATACCATACCAATTTTTTTTCCATATTCCGATGCTACGAATTCTGTAATTCTCAAATTACACCAAACTACCAAGTTTTGTAAAAACCGCACAAGTAGTTTTTAAAAAATTGGCTCTCAAAATTTCAGCTCCTCAATGTTAATTGAGTTTGGCATATATTTATTAATCTCTCTTTTTTTTTTTAACTTATTTGATTCTTCCTTTCACATTTCAAAATTTACGTTCATTCCAAATAAATTCACCCTTTTTTTATTTATATTTAAATTTGTATTTTTAAATAATTTTTATAAATTTTATAACAAAATTTTTGAATTATAATCTATAAAATTTTTACCATCATCTTAAAATAGACATATTTCTAAACATACCTGCAAAAAATTACAGTTTTTCTATTCAAAATTTTCGAAGATACACGTGAATTTCTACATTGGTGCGCTTTGAAATTTGGCTTATTTGTTGAAAGCGATGAAAGATCAAATGTGATTTAGACATGTTTTAGTCCAAAGGGGCTTTGTCCCTGAGGGACTATTGTTTTCGTTTTGCGATTTTGCGTTGAATCACTCTGAATGTCCATTTCACTTTTCGGTACTTACGCATTATCGCAACCAGGTTGGCACTATTTGTAAGTTTGAGTAAAAAAGTATGAATAGAAAGAAAATGTACATTTATTAATTACAGATAATTTTTAATACACTTTTTTATATTATTTTGTTTTAAAATATAAAATAGCAATTAAACCCTTCCGGTTTCGAATTTGAATAAGTTGCAGAATTATTTTTTCGGCGGAAATCTTTTGACTATTGCTTTTAGCACTGATTGAAAACCGTATTCACCATAACCATGTACACGTCAACTTATTTTTACTTAAAAAAAAAATCCCAGAATTGCACAAAAATTGCATTGCGCACACTCTTGACTTTATCCATTTACACTGCTATTCTCTCATAAATTACAAAAATTTGCACGAAAATGCAGGAAAATTTTGTGAATCTCCACATGCTCTTTTTATAAAACTACGTATAACACGTAGGGTTGCCGTAAGTAGGGTCGCCAAATTTGGTAATTTATGCGAATTTTGGCCTGGTTGCGTTAATACATACCCACTTTTCAAACTGTTGCTACCAAATACTAATGCCTTGAATTATATTTGAAGAAATTAAATATTGAAGAATCTGCATAAATGTATGCATGTTTCTTGCATTGTGATAAAACAATGGTATCTAAAGCCATCAAATTTTGAATAACATAATCCTACAGCGAATATGGGCATCTGGAAGACAAAATTTGAAATTTGGAATTTGTTTTATTATCGATTCCATATTTTGTAAAACTTTAATGAATTTTTTATTAACAAACTCAACAATTTCAAAGTGAGCAACGGTAACACTGTACGAAAAAAAATTACCTCTAACCCGTGAGATTGTGCATCGGAAATTCTAAACATATGCTCATTTTAAAATTATTTTGCGACATTGCTGTTGAATTGAATTTTATGGTTTAAGTGCAAAGAACAAGATAATAAATAAATAAAGGTAACACACAAAAGATTTTAAAAAATGTGCCTCTTTAGACGTAATTTAAAATCTGAAACCTTTCGGTTTTTTTTATACATTTTACAATCTGTTTTGGAAAATAAAGTCCTTTTCTAAAATTAGTTTGGAAGTAGAAATGATGGGACTTTTTTCCACTCATGCACAATATAAAAAGGTAGAAACAAGGTGACAAGGCACAATATAAAAAGGTAGAAAGTGAATTATTCTTGGCGAAAACTGAAAAAATTGTGCCAAGACAAATGTTTGAATTTCTCCATAAATTTTGCACCAAATTTTACAAAATTTAATATCTAGGCATAATTTTGAGTCGTAGAATCGAAATATGGAAAAGAATTGGTACGTTATTTTCAGAAAAAGTCCGATTTTGTGTCAAAATAACTATGTTAGAACAATGCTATATATAAATCTAATATATATCCTAAGTGGTGCTTTCGAGACAGGAAAAACACAATTTGAATTTTGTCAATCAGCCCAGAAGAACGGGAGATATAGAACTGTCCTTTTTTTATATTTGTGCAGTGTACATAAAACATGATTAGGTAAGTTATAGAAATATATATTCAATTATCTGGAAAAATATCTTTATCTACAACTGATCAGAACAGAAATTTTTTATGATTAAATAAAATTCTAGTACATACACAAATAATGATCCAATAAAAATATTTCAACATATAGAAAGATATTATTAATAGTCACAAGAAATTTTATCAAAAGTGCTTACAATATTCTGGTCAACATTTTCTGTCTTGCCATTATCATCATGGTGAGGTGCTAATAAACAATAATAATATCATAATTTCAATTTTTACAAGTTTATTTAATTAAAAATATTAAATTTCTTCTGCTGGTAATTAAAGTACATGCTTGACAAAGCACTGTCTAATCAATTCATATATTTAAGTAAATTTCAAAATTAAAACAATAATTTCTTACTTTCTGATTTCCCTTACATATTATAATTTACCAAAATACTCAGTTTCTTAACCCTTTTGTGCTTGATGTGTCATCGTTTAAATTCATTCTGTCGCCCAATTTTCAGATACAACATTTAAATAATGTTTTTTGTTGCCATGAGATGCAGCTTTATGTCTGTTATAACAAAATTTATCAAAAGTAAAGTATTTTGACATTCCTTTCCAATAACTTTTAATTTTGGTATTTTGTTCAAGAATGAGAGTGGGATTCATTTGAGATGCTTTAAAATGTGTTTTTTATGGGGGAGTTGATATAGCAGGATAGATGATCTGTCACTTCAGAGGTTTTATTTACTCCTCTTATATTTTTTTCTGGCATTAAAAGGGATATTTTATACCATTCAGCTAAGCATTTTTTCCACCTAAACAGCAAAATAAAAATAACATTTAACAGAAAGAAGCCTATACAGGAATGATAAATGAGTCTTTTTCTGACACTGATGATAAATGACATACCCATAAGTGTACTACAAACCCATAATTCTGCAGAATTGGAAAATGATAGTTAGAGCAATTTTAACATAGAAATATTAGTTTGTTTATATATATTTATTTAAAGTAAGTTAAATATTATACATGCTGGTTTCTTATGAAAGAGAGTTTTAATAATTTTGATTTTTATTAATGCCCTGTATTAAATAAAGCCTGTGATTGTTTCGATATTTTTCTATATATATTTAAGGCACATCAAAAATTATGGTAAAAGTATAGTTTACGGTACCCCTTGGCAAAACTTGGCGATTTTTGGCAATACATGGATACGAGCCAAAATAACGAGTCGAAGAATTGCACAAACTTGGTATCCATGTACACATCGACTTATTTTCACTTAGAAAAAAAATCCCCGAGTTGCACAAAAATGGCATTGCGCACTTCTTTGACTTGACTCGACCTATTTTCACTTAAAAAAAATCCCCAAATTGCACAAAAATGGCATTCGGCACTCTTTTAACTTTATCCATGTACACGTCCACCTATTTTCACTTTAAAAAAAATCCCAGAATTGTACAAACTTGCATTGCGCACTCCCTTTACTTTGTCCATGTACACATCGATATATTTTCACTTAAAAAGTCAAAGGAGCACCTACTTCTACAATAAAGGCAAACAAAAAACACATAATCTCAATAAAATAACATAAAAAAGGAAAAACATATTATACATTTAAGCACTACCAAAAGCAAATACTCACTTACCATGATTTTCAAGTTCGCTTCTTACACCCAGAGCCACGTAAAAATCAAAATATCAATCATAATCAAATGACTTTTTCAAACCAAGTACTCTTTCTGATCGAACGCTTCACATAGTGACCATCTGAACCTTCCTTCCTACAAACCCATTCAAATCCATCTAAACGGTTTTTACGTTAGACTAGACGCATATCCTTCCTACATACAGAACACTTACTGGCTACTAAGGTTTACTGGCTACTAAGTAAACCTTCATTTACACACCAGTCAATTAAAGCTCTTTTCACTTTCGCTCCAAATCGTACATAAACTTCAAATTAATCTTAAATACTTAATCTAGATGTTCAAAATACTACATTCGGCCATTCTACCGTCTAAAGAATCAAACCAACACACACCAAAAAAATGCTTACAAAAACATACCATGATTCAAAATTTCCCAGAATCATGCACCCGATTACGTCGCAATAGGGTTTCCTTAACATTCCACTACTCAAGCTACCATAAATGAACAACAACTTCGCGATAAATCAAACAGCAACTTGGCGATAAATCAAACAACAATTTCGCCATAATACAAGGAGTACCTTAAAGTATACACTACCCAAAATTATATTACTCTAAAATTGATTATTAGTCCAAAGGGGCAATTTTCCAAGAAGGACTATTAATTTCGTTTTGGAATTTTGTGTTGATTCACTTTTCAAATTGTTGCCACCAAATATTCTCGCCCTGTATTATATTTAGAGAAATTAAATAATGAAGAATCTGCATAAATGTATGTACGTTTCTCACAATGTGATAAAACAACAGCCTGTACCTACAGCCATCAAATTTTGAATAATGTAATCCTCCTACGAATATGGGCTTCTGTTTTATTATCGATTTCATATTTCATAAAATTTTAGTGAATTTTTTATATGATTCCATATTTCGTAAAACTTTAATGAATTTTTGATAATCAAACTCATTTCAAAGCGAGCAATGGCAACGCTGTAAAGAAAAAAAGCATTTTTATATCTTGCGAGCGAGACTGTGTATCGAAAATTCTAAAGATATGCTCGTTTTAAAAATATTTTGTGACATTGCTCTTGAACTGAATTTCATGGTTTAAGTGTGAAGAATATGATATTTAATAAATTAAGGTAACACACAAAATGTTAAAAATGCACCCCTTTGGACGTAATTTAAAGTCTGAAACCTTTCAGATTTTTTTTATTTTTATAAAAATTTTAAAGGAAAATTATAAGCGCTCTTCTCATAATGTACCAAAAATTGGAATAACTGGGCCATAAATTTAATTTATAGTTCCCAAAAGTGACTGCTGTTACTGCACCATTCTGAGAGAGCAGTTCAGTGACTGACATGACTACCAGAAAAGGGTTATGAATTCCTATTCAGTTAAAAATTTTAATTATTCATTAATAATTTATGCAAACAAGTATACAAAAAAATGTCAGCAGATCTATTTGGTTAAAATGATTAAAAATGATGAATGCAATTTAAAAAACAGTAGTAATAGGTTTTAGTTGATTATTACCACATTTCTTCCGTTTTAAAACATTTTTTTATGCATATAAAAAGGTTGAATGGTGTGTCTCCTAGAAAAGATGGTGTCTAAAAATTCTAGATGTTCAAAATAGGTAATTAGTCTGAATAATTCCAAAACATTAAGCTTAATAAATATATTACTGTCATTAATAAATCAAAATTGATAATTTTTCCCTAATGTATCAGAATGTTTTGTATATTTTATTTATAATCAGAATCAAAAGACTCCATCTCCTTACTGATATTATTTACATTAAGATTACATCTTAAAATCAAAGAACAAATGCACCTAGCTCACAAATTCACCTCCCCTAAATTATTTTTTCAAATAACTTAATACAGAAAAATCCCTCTTGCTACAATAAAAATTGTTTAAAATTTGCCTCAGAAGCTAGAATTAAGTTGTAACAACAAACAATTATCCGTTTCTCTTAACATCTTTAAAAAATTGACATGAAGTAGTACAACTATTAAAAATGTTCTACTCCAGTTACTTAGATTAAACTATGATAGCTTTTTGAAAAAAAAAAAAATATGAAAAATAAAAAAGCTTGCAAGAACAAAAATTTTAAATTTATTAGAAATTTACTGTTTTGAGAATGAGCTTTTCTTTTTTTTTTTTTCTTTTTTTTTTTTTTTTTTTTGTGTGTGTGGTGTGTGTGTGTGTATGCATAATAAGGGGCATTAATTATTACTCAGATAGAACTATTAAATGCTGTTTTTAATTTTAAACATGGGATAATGGCAGAAGGAAAAATTATGAAAACAATAAACAATTTTAGACCTGCCATCTAAAACATAAATAGCTAACTAAAAGCATGCTACATGATTATCAAGTTTTTTTATAGCTCCACATTAATATTTATGTCATCAAATGTAATAACAGAGTAAAGTTACTAAGGAATGCATAGTTACTTTTACTTATATAATTTTATCTGTATTTCGAGTATGAAGTAAAAGTACACAATCTCTCATATGCTTCTGCAGCAGCATATATCTGTGTTAACTACAGAGTACAGTACCCTGTAAATAATACAGTATGTAATACCCTCAAATATCTAGTACTATGAAAATATTTTCAGCTCACTGAAAAAGATATGTTACTGGTAAAAATTGTGGCAAACCAGATTTTTTTTGCCTAATTATGTCTGTCATAATGCAATAATTTTATTTATTCTTTTCCATTCAAAACAGACAATTTTGGAAATTATGAGGATAACTGTATATATCCTTCTGAAGACAATAAGTAAATACTATATGAAATTAAATTTAAAAAAAAGTTATACCTCCCACATCTTTGATGAGAGATATAGTTGTGGTTGCAGTAACAGGCATCAAAGCCTGACGAATTGCTACTTCCCAACCTCTTGATATATCAGGATCTTCACCAATATAATAATCCACGTTAGCAGTCCTTAATTCAAAGCAATAACTCTGTCCAGATTGTGAACTCACTTGTGGTTTGGTAGCTTCAACAGAAAGGATTTCAGATAAAGGTATTTCCTATAATAAAGATAGAACTGTGTATTATAAAATTCCTTTTCACACACACACATATATATACACCAAAGGCCCATTATATTATGACCAACCTGTTAATAATATGTAGGATCACCTTCAGCCTTCACAACTGCCAGCACCTGGTATGTCATTCAGTCCACAAGGTGCTGATAGGTAGTCTGAGGTATCTGATACTAAGCACTCACCAACTGCTCCTGCAATTCTTGCTCATTGGTGGCAGCACGAATTTGATTTTCCAAGTGGGACCACAAATGTTCTATTGGATTAATTTCAGGTAAATTTGGAGGCCAAAATATGACTTGAAAGTCACTCGGATATTTCTCGAACCACTCCCTGACAATTCGACCCATATGACATCCTGTTGGTAAACACCATCCCTTGCCAGAAATACTGTTGTCATGAATGGGTGAAACTGGTCTGCAATGATGTTTCCATAGCGCACAGGGATTGTTCTATGGGAATTATGGGTCCTAATGTGCTCCATGAAAACATTGCCCACAGCATAATACAACCCGTCACCAGCTTGTCTCCGTCCAAAAAAAAAAACAAAATTTTTATGCCTTACGCTAGTAGTTCCCAACCTTTTCTCTTTCATGTACTTCTTCAGCACTTAAACATTTCACCATTTACCCATTTACCTGAGATAAGCTTGTTGATTTGAAAAATGTTGTCAGTAGCTTTGAACCCTAATATAACAAATGTACATATATATATATATATATACATATTTTACACAATTTTTTTGTGTATTTAAGATGGTCGTTGGCATTATTTGATATTATCTGAATTATTAAAATTGTTCAGAGCTACTAACAATACTTTTCAAATCAACGAGTCTGTCTTAGAGCAAACAGAGAAGTGGTAAATAAAATTATAGGGTATTTTTAACTTCCCCCTTCAGAACCTATGAACCTCACCCCCTTCAGTATTTCCACAATATATTTTAATATTGTATATTTTAAAATAATAAATTCAATAAACTGCAACAAATAAGATCATAAAATGATCATAAAATCCATTTGTTGTTCTCTATTCACAGAATAACAATTTTGAGGTTAAATTACAGAAATTTTCATTAAAAAGATTTGAAATTACGACTCTTGCAATATATTCAGATGGGTATCATGGTCTATAAATAAACAACTAAAATTACAGAGGTTAATACCACCTAAACAGATTACAAGTTTTGTTTGCAAGTTGAAACCCATTTTTAGACATAAAATTGTAAAATACTTTGGTCCATTGGTTTTTCAAAACTGAATATCTAAAAATATAACTTTTTACCTATGAATCAGTTTTATCAGAAACTTTGAAAGCAACTGTGGAACTGTTCAGCAATTCTTAAAAAACTATCAGATGCTTATACGTGTCTCTGAAGCTATTTATCATCATGAAATTTCAAACTTAACTGAAATGAACTAATGTGTAATATAATTATACTTTGCTAATGTGAGCAATCTTTAAAAAAAAGTGCTAGGTGTAGACATCAAATCAATTATCTAGGACAATTTCAGTTCCAGCAAAGAACATTTTAACCATTTACCCATTTTTATATGAAGAACACTTTACATTTCAACAACCTAAAAAGAATAAAAGATAATTTGGAACAAAGCTTTATACTCAAACTGATTAGAATGCCATATTTGTAAAGAAAGAGAATTTCATAACTGATTTCGTGATTTCCTTAGTACTGAAAATATGGCTGACTCTCAACTGCTTTATGCAATATGTAGTGATTAAGGGGCAATAGGAATAGTTGCATGCAATGTGTAAGGAACTGAGTAATATGGCAGCTGTGAGTGGGGTTAGTTAATTATACTTTGCTAATGTGTACAAATGCAACGTATCATTATCTGTTGCTGTTATACGTCAGTATTGGTCATATCAGAAATCCTCTTAGCTGGTTCCTTTTCCTTTAATGACAAATTCATATTTTCTAAATGTTTTTCTTTTTATTAGCATTTCTTGTAACACATTATTACTTTCTGCCATTAATGATTATTTTTTACATATCCTCAGGGGAAGGAATAACACAGGTTGGGAACTACTGCTTCATATTTTGTTATATTTTACATATCATGTTTTAATGAAGGAACTTCTGGCCTCCAAAGACCATTTACGTAGTTGGAAGGATGGATGTATAAACCAAAAACTTCCAGATATGGCTGTTTTAAAACAATTTTATTGCAGGATAATTCACATCAGATCACCTTTCTGTAGATAAAATATTTTTCAATCTTAGTTGAGTACAATACTTTCCATGTACACAGGTTTTAAAGTATGACATCATCTTAGGCAAGTAAGCAGCAGCGTGGCCAGGAGCATGGCAGCATATTACCAGGAGGAAAGAGTAAGTGAAAAAGGATGTAGCAGTTCAGAGGAAGAAGGGAGGGAGTCAAAAGTTTCAGTTCGAGTTAAGTTTTGGTTTACAATTATTTGATTGGGTAAGAGGTATCTGAATTAAGCATTTACTTGGAAAGGGTAACCAAAACTAAAATTAACCAATCTTAGCTTATCTCTACAATTCCATCTACTTTGGTATAAATACTGCTGGCGAGTTAATTACATCATTCCTTTCCCTAGCTTGGTCACTGCTAATATATCCTCGCTTTCTAAGCCTACTAGCCCAAATGATGTAGAATCCCTCTATCTGTGTACATAAGAGTTATTGTAATTCATTATAATTGGATAAATGTCTACTAAGATGGCTTCATATTGTGAAAATAAAGATTGGGACTTATTCAAAATTCATTTGTGTTGCCATCATCTGTTCGTCTTTCCACTCCTATCACGACTACGCATTTACGTCACATTACTTGTTAGCTTTTCAATTTCTGTTTCGATTATATATATATATATATATATATATATATAGTAGCAACCTCCTGTAGGGACACCTCTATCTAAGGGATAAATCTGTTGGTCCCGGTCCCTTTTAATAGGGACCTTAATATATTTACTCTTATTAAGGGACACTCTATTTAATAGAGATTGAAAAATGTTTTAAAAACTAGACACAGGAGGAGAAACAAAAACAGAATACTCTTTGTTAGTAATCTTTTGAGGTTTCAAAAGCAAGACAAAGGAACAATAAAATAAAAATTAACCCCTTCTTTTGAAAACTGCTTTTCAGTAGGGAAAAGAATATATTGAGAAAAAACAAGTTATGGTGCATTCACATTCATAGAATTCAAAATCTAGATACTCTTGCTACATTTAGTCTATAGTCTAGTTACTCTTGCTACACAGCAAGCTGTAAGGCAATCTAAGACATAAACCAATGAGAAAGAAAAGGGGTGAGATGACAGGACCATTTGCCAAGAAATGGAACAGAGGGAAAACTATCATTTTTAGTTCTTACTAGAGTTGGGAAGTAAAAGTAATGTTATTTGGTACTTGTGTGTTATTTTTATATATGTTAGCTACAATGGCTTAAAAGAGGATAAGATTAACATTAAAAGAAAAAGTTGATGTAATTCCAGGGTTGCCACTCAAACAGGAGAATGAAATTCCCTGACTTTTCCAGGTGCGTTTCAAGAAAATTCCAGTCTATCCGCGTAATGTACGTTGGCTACGCTAAGAGGTAAATTAATTATGGCATATTACTTGTATTGTGTAGCAAATTCACTTAATTATTCAATAAATCCCAGAGGGACATTTATTCTTAATTATTCTTGGTATACTTTGTTTAATAATTTTGTTTACTTTTCCACTTAAGAAACTTAATAAAATTTAAGATATATACATTGGATAACAAATGTATGTTTTATTTAATTATTACTCATGATCATCACCAGTTCAACACGAGCCTAATCCGGTCCTTATAAATCACAACGCAAGGCTAAATAGTTAGGTTAGATTTTAGGTAAATTTAATTTGAGTGAGGTATGTTCTGAAAAAGCACCTTAACGCTTGAAAACACAAATATAATTATAATAGTTGTTGTTTTCCTTTCCATTGAAGATTGAGATTAGAATCTTCCCAATCTGGAATAAAATAAGGCTTTTTTTGCAGACATTCTGCAGCTAAATGAAACAAAGAAATCTATTTTAATAAATTGAGGTATTTATATTTAGTTCGCAGCATACATAAGAAAAAAATATGTGGCATTAAATTTCGTGATGGTATGTCATCATACTGCTAGAATTAATTTCAAGATTATGCCCAGAGAAAATTTCCTGAAATTTAGAAATATTATTTACTAATAATTAATAAATTTAGAGGGAAGAAGCATCATTTAAATTATACGAATAACATCAAATAAGATAATTACTTAAAAACTGAATTAGAATCAACGATATTTTAGCGAATATAGTTAGTTATATTACATGGTTAGCCTAGATACAGATTACTATTTTTTTTTTTACTGCAAAATGGCAAGGTATTTATTAAAAAGAAAAGTTTAAAAGATTTTGCGGTAAAATTCTAGTATACGGTAAGGCTTTGGCACGATTTTGAAATTGTCGCCAAGACCAAAATGACCCGTTTCTGCGCATCATCATGTCGCCAAATCCATACATGAGATTATTTTAACCAAAAAAACGTCTATGCAAAGAATCTCTAATTCTTTGGTCTATGTAAAAAAGAAAATTTTCCATACCAGTAAAATGCTATTACGCCGCTAGAATGCGGAGGGAAAATTTGCCAAGGGATTTGGCGACGGAAACCTGGCGGCCAGAATTTCCCTCTCCGCGATGTGTACCGGAAATTGAAAAACGTGTTAAAAAGAAACGTTCTTTTGACAAAAGAAAGCTACGAAAATCCGTTTTTAAATTATTGCGAAAAATCCAAGAAGAAACGTTTTATCATAGGACGTTTCTTCTTGGATTTTTTGCAATAATTTTAAAAACGGATTTTCGTAGTTTTTTCACCCTCTGAAAATTACTAACCTATGAATTAATTTACTTGCGCCAAAAAATGTTTTCTTTTAATTTAGAGTTTAAAACTACTTGCGCTAAGACTAAGCTTCACGGTTGTGGTGC